AGGACAGGACATTGGGATATAGAGAGCTGGTGGAACAGGGTATACTGACGTAGCATTTGTAGTAGCTCATTTGCCAGTGCAAGATGATTTTTCTCTGTTGATTGATACCTGGTTCTTAAAGAAATAGTACCATAGCCCATGTAGAATGACAAGTTCTCCACTTAATAAGGATGTTGTGTTGATTATACAAGCAGTTAACTTCTAAAATAGCTTGAAAAGCTCTTGTATAATACCTTCTTAGTTGAATGCCTTGATTATTGTGAATACAATGAAGGGACTGTAAAATAAGTAGAGACAGCTGTGTCCATCAGAGCAAGCATCATGGGAATTTGTGCCAAAGGGTGGAGAGAGCAAGTAAAGAGAGCTGATAGAGAACTGTTAACATATCCACTGTGATAAGAAAGGAGACACCTTTGTATTTGAATGTAAAGAAAAAGTGGCCATGAGCAGCTGTCTGATATGGAAATCCAAAACCCAGGCATGATTACAAAAACAAAAGACAAAGAGTGATAGATGTCATTAGCAGTAATTTTCAGTGTCCTTAAATTGAAAGGTAGATATGAAGTCTCCAGAGAGACCAATGGAGTGTACAGTAAACAATCTCTTTCCGTAGGCCTCTATTTTTACTTTGAGGAGGAAAAATTATTCCTTAAAATCTTAATGTTATTTGTTGATGTTAGCATTTATGTTAAAGATCAATAATAAATGGAACAGATAGAAATGCAAATTTTGCTTTAAAATATAAAATTATTTTTAATTTTGGGAAAAGGAGCTTTGCTTTTTATGTTAAGAAAAAAGTTTGTGGCCAGGCGCCGTGGCTCATGCCTGCAATCCTAGCACTCTGGAAGGCCGAGGGGGGAGGATTGTTTTAGCTCAGGAGATTGAGACTAGCCTGAGCAAGAGTGAGGCCCCGTCTCTACTAAAAATAGAAAAAATTATCTAGATGTCATGGCATGCACCTGTAGTCACTGCTACAGGGGTGGCTGAGGCAGGAGGATTGCTTGAGCCCAGGAGTTTGAGGTTGCAGTGAGCTACGATGACACCACTGCACTCTACCTGGGGTGACAGAGCAAGACTCTGTCTCAAAAAAAAGAAAAGAAAAGAAACAATTTTTTAACATTTATGAGAATTCATTGGTAGCTTAATGTGAGTTCTAAGCCCACTTTAAGTTAAAAGTTAAACCTATCCCTATTCTTCTGGGTTCTGCATAAGGTGAACAAGGCCACCATGGTGTTTTCAGGGCTTGGGCAGGTGACTGACACATAGTGGACACTCAGTGAATATGTATGCAATGAACTAACTTGTGACTTTTCCATTCTTTGTACACAATTTCTACCCATTGATCCTTAGAATGCAGTATCCTGAAATTCGTGATATGTTTCATATACATGAAAAATAATCCAAAAATAAAATAGGAGCTTTAAATACAAAGCTTATAGAACTGTAACAGGGTCATTAATCATCTGTATGATGGTTAAATATATTTCTGAAATGCTATTTAATACCGTGTGTTTGCATCTTTTTCTGGGGATGGTGTTCATAGTCTTTTTAGACATCATAAATATGTGGTCCATTTTGACTAGTGTTTTTCATTAACCATAGATATAATCAGTGTCCTCCATTTTGCAGTATTTCTCCGATCTTCATTTCTTTTCCTGTCTTCCATTGTATGGATATACCACATTTTATCCATTCATCAGTTGACAGACATTTGGTTTGTTTCTACTTTTGGGCTATTATAGATAATGCTTGTATAAACACTACTGCACAAGATTTTATGTGGACATATGTTTTCAGTTCTCTTGGTGTGACCCTTTGGTTACAAGTTTTTGTAATTTTGATTTCAGTTTCCCTGATGGCTAATGACGCTGAACATTTTTCATGTGCTTACTCACCATTTGTATATCTTCTTTGCCCGTTTTTAAATTGGGTTATTTGTCTTTTCAATATTGAGTAGTAATAGGTATAGTCTAGATACAAGTCACTTACCAGATACAGGTTTTGCAGAAAAGATTCCCCATTCTTTAGGTTGTCTTTTCACTTTTTTAATGATGTCCTTTGAAGCACATAAATTTTGGTTTTGATGAAGTCCAATTTATCTATTTTTTCTTTTGTTATTTTGACTTTTCGTGTTGTATATAAGAAACCATTGCCTAATCCAAGGTCACGAAAGTTTACAATATTTTGTTCTAAGAGTGTAATTGTTTTAGCTTTTACCTTTAAGTCTTTCATCCATTTTTGTATGTGGTATAAGGTAAGGGTCCAACTCCATTCTTTTGCATGTAAATATCCAGTTGTTCCAGCACCGTTTGTTGAAAGACTATTCATTTGCCATTGACTTGTCTTGGTATCCTTGTTGAAAAATCAATGGCCTGTAAATGCAGATACTTGTTTTTTTCATAAAAAGTTTGAAACTTTTGATTTGTCCTTGCCATGAATTTTTTTTTTTTTTTTTTAGAGAAAGAGTCTCATAGCTCACTGTAACCTCAAATACCTGGGCTAATGCGATCCATTTGCCTTAGCCTCCCAAGTGGCCAGGTAGCTGGGACTACAGGCACATGCCACCATGCCCAGCTAATTTTTTTTTTTTTTTTAGAAATGGGGTCTCAGTATGTTGCCCAGGCTGGTCTTGAACTCTTGGCCTCAAGCAATCCTCCTTCCTTGACCTCTCAAAGTGTTAATATTACAGGCATGAGCCACCATGTGCAGCCTGTGTTTTTTTCTTTTTCAAAATGAATTTAGGTCACTTCTCCATTAGGACCAACTTTCTGGGAGGATGCTGTCTAATATTGCATCATTCTCATGTTCCTGTTTGATTACTTTTCTAGTAATAGAAGAATCTTCATTTAGTGTGCTTTTCTTGGATTTTACCTTCATTTAAATTGGGAAACCTGAGTTCTTTTAACGTTCAGTTCTCTCTTAATTTGTTCAAAAACACTGTAAACAAGTTAGAATTAGTCTTAATGTTAAAGAGATTCATGTCCTCCCCACCCCTTCACTTGTTTTCAAAGTTTAGCTAGAGGCAAAGGTTAATCTTTAAAGGAGTCATGCTTATAAGGTTGGGATAGTGCTGCATGGCTGATGTTCTGCTGATTCCAGCTATAAAATGTTCTTTTGGCAAGCAGAAAAAACAATTTAAAATATACTATAATATTTGAGGTCTACTGAACTCTAAAAACATGGACTCAAAACGTAAAGTGAAGAATTGTAAACTGCGTTTTTCTTTTAGTATTTGTGAAGTTGAAGTGGTTATCAGAATTGATTGAGAGCTAGATTGTATTGAGTTTTAAAACTAATTCAGGAGATTAGCTACCTTTAATGGACACCAAAATTCATGGGAAATTGGTTCTTTTTTTCATGACAGATTTTAAAAGGGGAAAAACCTTCTTATATACCATATTTACACTCATTTATCCAGCTCTGAAAATTTCAGTGGATACAAAGTATATACATACGTTAAGTACATTTTTGTGTGAATAAGATTAGTTTACTTAATGGGAGTCTAATCTATTATGTAAATACTACACAATATATATTAGAGTGTGTTGTCTTTTACAATTTTTCATGTGTCTTTGTCTAATGTATATTTCCATAATATGCATTCAGTAGGTATAGTAATATCACAGTTAACCTGAGGTCAGTTTTCTAGAAACCCAAAGCATCGCAAACGCACTCCTTCAAACAGTAGCATAAACAAATAGTTATTTAAACAACGTGCGATAAAATGAGAAAGGTTTTATTTTATGTGATATGTGGAGTTTGTTTTAGAGTCACTCTCTTAAGTTCATTTTCTTGTTTACAAAATGAAAATTCAAAATAAATGACAGTTTAAGGAGCTGAGCTGCAAACTGCTTTAGACTAGAAGCAATAGCAATGTGTACTTCTTTAGTGCTTTTGAGAAGAGCAGTAATACCATAATTAGAATGGCAGTATAGTGAAGTGCAGTGGAGATTCAGCAGTGAACAAAACAGATGGAAATTCTTGACTTTACTTATCCCTCTGATCAAGTTGGAGGGAGATAGAAAATAAATGAATGGCCAGGTGTGATTGGCTCATGCTTGTGATCTTAGCACTTTGGAAGGCAGAAGTGAGAGGATCACTTGAGGCTGGGAGTTCAAGACTAGCCTGGACAGCATAGTAAGACCCCAATTCTACAAAAAATAGAAAAATTAGCCAGGTGTGGTGGCGCACGCCTGTAGTCTCAACTGCTCAGGAGGCTGAGGCAGGAGGATCACTTGAGATCAGGAGTTCGAGGCTGCAGTCAGCTATAATAATGCCACTACACTCTAGCCTGGACAACAGAGGGAGACCCTACCTCAAGGAAAAAAAAAAAAAAGAAAGAAAGAAAGAAAAAAAAGAAAAGAGGAAAAAGCAGATACATATTACGGAACAATTTACTGTTGTTATTGGCTGGGCCTGGAAGCAAGAAGAATGAAATTGAGTGATTAATGTAAATACCTAGGATTATGTAGTTCCCCAACATTTTTCTACTGAGGCATCCTTTGAGGTTTGCTTGTCCTCATTGGCCCGATACCTAAATACTTGTTCTTTTTTCCCCACCATAGTGTCATGTCTGATAGTCTCATTTATCTTTGACCCTTAAATTCCTGAACCCATCATATCCTTTCTCTTTCTTCTCCCAAAATTCATCCTTGACTCATGCACTTTCAACTTATGAACTTTAAATGGTCCTTCCTCGCTTCATTGTTTTGTTCAGGAATAACCGTATAAAATGCCCAGTGTTTGCTAAAAGTGATTAGCAGTTCTTCCCAGATTTGTTTCTTATTGGAACAAATTCAAAACCAAAAGGAAACTAAGTAGAGGAGAAAAAAATGAAAATTAATTAGCTATAAAAATAATGACTACTCTTATGGGAATTTTATGTGATACTTGAGAAAATATAAGCAGTTTATTTTTCTGTTTTTCTGGCATAAACGTATGATGCTCCAATAGATAAGTTATTAAGAAGTTTCTTAATAGTGCCATTTGAAATTTTTCAGGCTGCTATCCATGTCCAGGGCCAAACATGAATCCTGTTGCTCTTGGAAGCCGCTGGCTTGCTTATGCAGAAAACAAGGTAAGACATGGCTCATATTTGGGTTATTTGTAATGGAGCAAATGTTGAAGGATTTTCTATAATCTTGTGCTACATAGGTGATTACCAGTAATGAATGTTTAACTTACTAGTTTCTTTGCTTTGGTTTGGTTTTAATTGTGCAACTAATAATTGAACTCTGTGAAAGATTCATAAATGTTTGACAGTGGTCCTTAAATCAGACTCTGCAGAACCTTAATTTTTTCGGCTTAGTTTTATGTAGAGAACTCTAACTCATTAATATTAAAGCACAGCATTGACTGATATTAAAGTCAGCAGTTTCTGACTTTTTAGAAATCAGGAGGCATGGCCATGCATGCTGGCTCATGCCTGTAATCCTAGCACTCTGGGGGGCTGAGGCGGGAGGATCGTTAGAGTCCAGGAGTTCGAGACCAGCCTGAGCGAGAGCAAGACCCTGTCTCTACTAAAAATAGAAAAATTAGCCAGGTGTGATGGCGCATGCCTGTAGTCCCAGCTATTCAGGAGGCATAGGAGGGAGGACGGCTTAAGTCCAGGAATTTGAGGTTGCAGTGAGCTATGATGACACCACTGCACTCTAGCTTGAGTGACAGAGCAAGACTCTGTCTCAAAAAAGAAGAAGAAAAAAAAACCAGAAATCAGGAGGCAGGTGTGACTTCTGTCTTCATTGGTAGATTGGAAACCTGGGGCATAGAATAACTTAATTGACTTCAACTATATGAAAAAACTAGATCTAAATAAGGGTTTAGGCATTTGTTTTAAAAATTAAATCATACATACTTTCATTTTGTTGAATTTTCCAGTTATTTATTAATTTATTAAGGTCATCATAGTAAATGAAGATATTGTATTTATACACTAAGAGTTTTATTTATGTCTGCTTCAAGGCAAAAGGTAAATTTGAATTTTCAGAAAGAAAAAGTAAAATCCTTTTTATGTCTTTTACTACCCTTCATGTGAATATAGAATGAAATCTAAAACATATTACACACTTCAAAGAAGATTAGCATTTTTGATATCATATTTCCTGGTTGCATAGTTACTGTATTTTGGAAATAATATGAAATGATATGAAGTAATTCTTGACAAAATTAGGATGTGGTAAGTAATGTAATTATTTGGTCAAGCCACAAGCTAATAAATCTGTAGCCTCTGGAATGTACAAAATCAAGAAACTACTGAAGGAAATTATTTTTCTAGATGAATTCTTTGATACCTCATCCAAAAGTCTGTCTGCAGCTATTAGATATTTTGCTTCTTAACCAAATGCTGTATTTATGTTCCATCCTGTTCTTTCTCTTGATTTTCCAATATATCTCATAAAAATAGCTCTTTTCAAATTATCTTTTCAAACAAGACAAGAGGCATACCATTAAGTGTGATGACATAATGGTATCTTCTAATGTTTATGTCTGTAATACATTTCCCTTGAGTGCTGGAGACATCCAAGAAGATGTATAAATTGTCCCTTGGCTTTTATAGATGTATTCTCACATGTGGCAAAGTGTCCATTCGGAATCAGAGGTATTATGTAAATTGTTACTTATTGTTTTTGAAGGGAAAGAACTTCTTTCATAGATGCATAGCCTGGACATGTGCCAGCTATTTTGCCTTTATAGAGATACATGTTAATAATAATATCTGGTGTCATATATGGAGACCAGGCAATGTAGTGGCATTCTCTAAGAGTTTGCTAATCAAAAAGTTGTGCCATCATCTAGAAATATTTCTGGATAAATGTCCTTACATAGTATTTCCATAAAATCTAGTATTTATTAGTTTCTGATTGTTTTAACTTTAGAGCTGAGTGTGGAATTGTAAAATTGAATTAAATTTTGGTGTAACAGTCTCTTTCAGTGAAAGTGCTCTTTGCCTGTAAAATCTTAAGAAGCTGGTAACAGTAGAGTACTTACACACACTTAAATATGCATATACACACATATATTTTAGAAATAATGAGTTTGCATTGATATTTTGATAGGGTTCTTTCTTGCCTTCCCGATTTCATGTTTATATGTCCCTTATTTTGCACAGTAGACCCTGACCTCAGCCATCTACTCATTTGTTCAATCCTATAATAGAAAAAACAAAATTGCAAATTGCCTGCCAATACCACTAAAAGAAAAAAAAAAAGATCAAACCAAATAGAAAGAGTTCATGATTTTTTTTTAACAATTATACCCACTCCTGTCGCTGCCTAACACTAAAGGTACGCAGTAAAATAGTATATTCATAGCTTATTTTTATTA